TTTGGACCTCTATTACAAAACAAGCGGCGCAATCCTTTTTTGTCAGTTTTAACGACTTGGCGCGCTGCCTCGGGGGGCATGTGTAAACTGCATAGTTGTGAGGGGTGCGTGTTAAACTATCGACGCGTCCGTGCAACAATATCCTATCTGTTTCGCTGCTCCGAAAGACTAGCCTATCTTTTTTTCGGCGCTCTCTGCAGCGCTGTCTTCTTTTCATTGTGGGTCTGCTTATATTGACAGTAGAAAAATTGCCATTTTTTTCTTGCACTGCAAAATGCTTGCAAAGAATAGGTTCGTATTGCAAACTATTTTCTTTGCAGCTTGCAAAGTATTTTCAAGCATCGTAATACGAACTAGTTCTTCGCAAGCTTGCAAACTATTTCTTTGCAATGCTAACACATTGTTTGCAAGGATTCTGCCAGCTTGCAAAGAACTTCTTTGCAATACGAACTAATTCTTTGCAATACAAAGCTCAGAAATTCTTTGCAACGTTGCAAAGAATATAGTTTGCAAGCATTTTACAGTGTGATCTTTAAGGAACACGCAGCAAATGTTACTTTTTTTTCTACTGTTAATAATAGCAAACCCACAACAAAAAGAAGATAGCGCTGCAGAGAAAAACAGATAGTCTAGTCTTTCGGGGCAGCGAAACAGATAGGATATTTTTGCACGGACACGTCGCTACGAGCCTAACTTCACTAAGCGAAAATGCTATATTTATTTGTTATTACTCGCCTCATGTGGTCAGCTTTTCAAACCATTTGCAAAACAAAAGACGCTCCACACAGAAAAAACGTTCACACTAACTGGATTTGTACTTTTAATTCGCACGGATCTAAAAGCAATCAAATTATTTACACACATTTCTGCGCTAATTTGAAATTTTTCATACCTTCCGTTGTACGAAATCATACATTTTTGCTCACGAATTCGTCCGAAACGAAACTTAGGTTGAAGGTAGCGCAAGAAAAGTTTGCACAAAATCATATAAGCACATTTAGCGTGTTTGTTATAACGCAAATTGCGGATTTAGCTCAGAACAAAGCGGTCGATAACAATATAACGTGTGCAATACAGTGTGTCGGCACGCGCCGCTCCGACAATTTTGATTGCGTGAACGACGCGTCACGTTCTGTTGGCGGCAGAGCAGAGGCAGCGAGCAAAACGGCCGTTCCGTTATTACGCCCCGAGCCCCGTGCGCCCACGCGAGCGAGATCTATGAGAGGGAGAGGGAGAAAGAGAGAGAGAGAGAGAGAGAGAGAGGGTGGGGGGGGGGGCGAGAAATGAGAGAGAAGGGGGAAAGATAGACCGACAAAGAGACAGAGAGAGAAAGGGGAGGGGGCACCAGAGGCCCGCCCAGCCCAGAGAGCAGGCAAATCAAATCAATCCGTCCAATTCGCTGCGGACAGAGAAACGCGCGGCGCGGGTGAGCGACGGGGCATACCGGGTCGTACCCGGGCGTACGCGGCCGCCTCGGCCGAGCTGCCACAGACCAGACCGCGCCGAGCGGTTGCGCCCTTGTTACCGCTTCGTCGCGGTCGCCTCCTCAGGTTTACCGCGGTGCTGCTTTGCCAAACCAGAGATGGTCGGCTCGGAGCGCAGAACTGATGCGTTGTTTTAGGTCCGGCAGGAAGCGGGGGAAAAGGTATTACTGCAAAATCATCAGTTTGCAGGGAACAACGAAAAAGCAATTAAAGTAAAAAGTAAAATCAGTAATTTAGGAAATTGTTGATTATTACATTTTAGAAAAAGGTACCAGATTAAATTAGGCTACGCTACTAGGGAGATTTGTTGACCGTTTTACCTTCGACCATTCTAAGTTTAAAAGGGGTGTCTCCCGAAAAACAATGTGCGAGAAAGGAGACAAGTCGAGTTATTTCAAATTAGAGATCATCCGGAAAGTATGACCACCGGTGGAGCCAAGTTTACTCTACATGAAAGCTCTCATAGCGCCTGACAGGTAGGCAACATCATGCCTGCAGTGCATGAGTCTACTGCAGGGGTGCCTATACTTCGTCTCCTAGGCGTCGAGCTCCCGTAATACGCCGATGATCTGAGAAAAAAGTTTGAAATTCTTACAGAATTAAACTAATTTATGGCCCCTCTTTGGCGTCACACAACATTTTTAACCTTAAAAAAGTGCAAAAAAAAGCATAAAAATTGAAAGGAGGCAACTATGCGGGCACGTAGCTGCCATGGGCGACTGCAATGCCCGAGGAAGAATCATAACCCCGACCCCTCGCTCCCCTACTCCTTCTCTCTCTGCACGCTTCGTCAAACAACCGAACCCTTCCCGCGTTCCTTTCCCATCCCCGCTGCACCGGGCCGGGCCTGCCCAAACAGCGCAGCCGGCGCTCTAAATACAATGATACAATACCACCCGCCCGGCGGCGCAGCCAGCGAAGGCGGCAGCGGGCAGCAGCGCTCTGGGCAATATTATCGCTGCGCTTTCAAAAGAATGTATATATTTGTTCTCGGAGAGCAGCCCCCGGCGCGGAGGCGTCGTTTCTTCCCATCCGAGACGCATTCCGGGCGCTTCCTCTGGGCCGCGCCACCCTTCTGCGCGATCTACTGCTGCTGGCGCAGACGACGCGGTAGTCCCCCGTCTTGGGAAACTCTGCAAGTGGGAACACAATATCCTCCGCTCCTGTCCCCGCGCCGCCGGTCCCCGCACAGCTTAACGAGCAATCCCCCTCCGACCATCGCGCCAAGGGGAATTCTTGTTGAATTTTCCCCCTTCGGGCCGCTGCTGCCGCCGCAGACGGAGTGCAGCCACCCGCAATGAGCAAAATGCCACCACCACACGATAGGGTGCGTCCAACAATTACGAACCTTTTACTTTTGTTCTGCACTGCAGTTTGCAGCCGGCGGAGTTTTTTTTTGGTCTTTTTACTACTAACAAACCAACTTTTTGAATGCAGCGCAAAAAA